CATTGGTCAATGTTTGTAATGCTTTCTGTGATGCCCTCTCATATATTTCTAAACTTAACCCAGTCAACTAGCCTAAGCTGTTTTCCCATGTGTTTGGCAGGGCCCCCAATTAGCTGGATTTTAATGATAGAATGATCGCTCCCAAATTCTTGCTATGTATTCAGCCATTGCGCAAATTGCGTGTTCTTTATAAAAGTAAGGTTGGGCGTGGTATCACCACAGACATTATTTCCTTGCCTAGTGGTTGTTGTGGAGTCAGTGATGAGTGTTAGGCCTTCCTGCTGCGAGTCGAGCCAGAGATTTCTGCCCTTGGGCTGGACATGTTTATAACCCCATGTACAATTGGGGGCATTAAAGTCCCCTCTGGTTATTACAACTCAATCGCCCACTATGGTAAGCGTGCACTTAAAGAGAGTTAAAAATCTGTGCCGTGTGAATATCGGGTCACTGTACACGTTTAGGATGAACACACTGTCCCCTGTTTTCCTTGTGGGTATGATTTCAATTACTATATTTTCTATATCGGTATCCTGTGTGCTGTGTTGCACTGTCGTGTGATCCCTCCACACTAAAGTTGTAAGGGCTTTAGTCTCCCCCTGGGAACTGCCGATAGAGCGGTAGCCAGGCAACTTAGCGAGGCCATGCCTCTCCTGTACGATTAATATATCTGGTTTTTCTTTATTTTTAAAATACTGGAGTAGGATGGCTTTCTTGTTTCTGTAACTTCTACAATTCCATTGCCAAAATACGTATTTGTTGCGTCTGTCCATGGCAGCAATTTTTGCTGAGAACACGTTGGGTTCATAGTAGCCGGCTTTAGTAGCGGAGGTTCGATGATTGTTTTAATGGGCATTACTCCACTGGCTTGTAGACCTTTAGCAGAGAAGCATTTTTCAAGTTCTGTTACCCTAGTAGATAAGCTATCTAGTTTCTGCTGGTGTACCTGCTGTTGCTGTATACCTGTGTTAATTTTCTGCATAATAGCTGTTCCCCACTCTTTGATTTGCGCTCCCACGGTTTCATTAATGTCGTTTATTGCCACAATTTGAATTTTTACAGCTTCTTCAACTTTGCTTATTCATAAATTTACGCATTCTTCAGATTCTTCTTGACATTTGTGCAACATGTTAGCAGTCTTGGTTTTCTTGTGCTTGCTAGTACCATCGTCGTTAATCTCTACAGCCTTACGTTTTGGGAGAGGGGAATCAGTGCTCTCCTCCATACTGGTTACACTATCCTGTGTTATAATCATTCCGTCATTGCACTGCACCATGCCTGAACTGTAGTTATGAATTTTTTCCCTTAATTTTTTATTCTCTTTTCTCATGGCAGCAATTATCTGATTGTTTGGCAAAATAATTTATTTCAGTTGTGCTAACTCTGCCTCGAGTTTGGCGATTTTCTGGTCAGAAGCAGCCTCGCGCGCGTCCCCTTGACTCTGCCATGCTCACCTTGAACGATGTATCGGCGCCGGGTTTTAGTAGTTCCTTGGCCCTTGACTGGAAGCGTGACTTTGACCTGGAGCGGTTCCTAGATCTGGGGCGGTTCCTGGACTTTAAGCGGCTTTTCCTCTCATGCGGCAAACTAGGGGAGGACTCCGATATGTTGTCCTTAGCTGCATTGGTGTGAGATGGCATGGCTTGTGCAGCGAAGGACGCGTTCTCTTGTTCTTGTCTAGCTCTTTCCAAGCGGCGTTTGCGCACTAGGAATGGTGTCTTATATCTTGCTTTGCAGGTTCGGTCTGCTGTGGGTGGTCTTCGTGGCACAGCTGGCACCTGGCCTTGCATTCGTGGCTTTCGGGAGGATTTGGCATCCTGCAGCCTCGGCAGATCTTATCTTTAGGGTTGGGGCAAACATCCGCCATATGCCCCTAACATCCACAGTGGTAGCACACGTCCAGTTGTTTCCTGTACAACGGACATCGTAGCAATGCCCCGCCATATTTCACTTAGCTTGGCCCACTGTAGCCGTCGAATAGTACAATCACATTGGTGGTATTGCCCATTCACTTGGCCACGAGCTCAGTTGGGTTCCTGGGGTTTACGACGTTTTCAGTTATATTTCGGGCAGTGTCTTCTTTTTAGTGGTATTCCCCGAATCACTCCGTTGGAAGTGTTTTCTAGGGCTGCTTCATAAGCGCTGGCTTCAAAAGCTTGCGTGCCTATTTTGATGCAGGCAATTCGCTGGTATCTGTTGGCATGTTCTTCGACAGTGCTGACCACAGCGAGGTTTTGTTTGGCAGTTGACGCAGACTATGTCTTCCTCTCGGACTTATCTTTGTATATTCGTCGCTTCGTAGACGCTGTTGGCAATGCGGGTGGCACCGTGGTCGCTGATGCAAAGTCCCCCACGAGGTCGAACAATTATCTTGTAGTCTTCTCTTGGAAGTGGCGGCATTCTGCTACCTCTAATGATTTGGCGAAGCTGTTGTTCTCTCAGTTTCTTGTCCTTCTGCCCTGGCGAATGCTGCTCGCTTGGTTGCTCTAACATTTTCTCTGTAATCTTTCGCTGTCCCACCAGTCGCCATTTGGTATTATCCTCAAATTCTTCTTTCGAAATGCTTTCTCCCTCCGCTGTCACTTCCATCTGGTCGAAAAACTCGAAATGCAAAGCGTGCAGGGCGCCGCGTTCTTTGTGGTTCCTTGCGACGCCTAGCTGCGTTGCAGCTTAAGTGGCAGTGTCCACGGTGAACGCTGTGGAGGTGGCTCTTCTGCCGGCGTAGCGAACATAAAAATGGGCGTAAAATGGTCAAATATAAGTCCTCCTACCTGATTTTTCATCAGGATGGTCGCAATGACTTGTGGCGTCGATTCGTAACGAGAAATTCGCTGGATATGGTGAGTTCTGCCGAGAAGCATCCAGGAAACGTGGAGCCAGCACGATGAGTGACTGCTCCTGCAGGGCGCCTACCTCCTCCTGCCTTGCTGTGGTTGTAACAAAACTTTTTGCTTTGTTTTCTGTAGCGTCAAGAATCTAGTAGGAGGCTGAATGCTGCATTTGATATGCATTTGCAATTGTTTGTCTCACTCGGAAGGCTGATCGCAAGAATTGTGTAGGAAACATTAATTTCAAGTACACTTGCCGTTGTTATGACACTAGAAAATAATTAAATTTGTGCCTTTTTGCTGAAGGTGTTATAATTCATGCTTTAATGTTGAAATAAATACTTCAAAATAGTGAAAGTCATTGCATCATGAGGATGGCTACTGTTTTTTCTATTAAGCTCTAAGTCAGAATCGCAGTTGCAGGACTTATGATAATAAGAATAATAATAATATCTAAATAATACAATATTCAAAGGTGAGAATTCCTAAATAACAAAGCTCAATGTTAGGAGATTCTCAGTGTTACAGCAAAGTGTGCGTGATGCAAAATGCCCACGTGCAGTAGGTGATCCAATATGCTTCCAATAATTTTCTTTCTTATTATTTCCATATATAAATACAAAAAGGGCGCTTGCTTCTTTCCTCCTACTTCATTCTTTGTGTATCTAGTTCTTACTATCGAAACTTTGAGCCCATCACATGTTGTATTCTCCTCGGTCAGTGTCTGTGAACATCATCTCTTTGAAAGAAGCAAAAAAGTAACTCCTTTTAAGAGCAAGGCTCTCAAAGTTCAAAGTAAAGTGGTGGGCGCATAGAGTTTCATACAGTAATACCTAGAGAAATATCTGGCGCTAGTGTTTATACGGTCTCCTTCAGCGGCACTTGTACCCCTGTGGGAATTTGAGGCTTCGTATCTGATTTATATGGATCACATTCTTGGGATTTGCAACGCTTGTATATGAAGTTTATTTATTTGAAACTTGCTTCATTCTTTTGTATGCAAACTCTATTGCAAAAATTTATTGTGACGATGCAGTAAAAATGAAAGCACACAAATCGAACTACCAGGGTATGCATTACTCTGCCATTGCGTTCTAAATTTAGCATCAAGATATAATAGATTATTTTATACAACACTTGAAAACAAACATGCTTGCTCTGCCCTCAAACGTACACATTGTATATTTGTGGAAATAGCAGTGCATTATTAAGGGAGAAACACAACAGATGGTCTGCTGCGATGCCAGCTGTGTCTGTCCAAGTGGCCTGTCCTCAACACACCTCTTTTTTTGGGGGGGGGGGGGGGGAGTTGAGTCAAAAAGAGCGTGACAGTACACTTACTTAGCTTTGTCATCATTTTGCGGTCGATTTAAATGAGTTTTGGCAAGGCGCGCTAACAAAAAAAAAGAGAATTCTATGTAATATCCTACACTGGCATGCGACGCTACATCTATGTGCAACAGTGAGTGAACGATGTTTCACTTAAACTGTCAACTATGACTTATACAGCTACAGTGTTGCAGTAAATTGAGAGGCCTAGCGGTCTTCAGCTTCTTTGAACAACAAAGGCAGTGCTTCGGTGCTTTGCAATGCATCCCACTTCCCACTCTGCGTAAAGAACGAAAATGAAAGTGTAGAAAAAGATCGATAGACAGTTCGCTAATCAACGCTATCCAACCCAGAGCCTGTGCTTCCCATAATTCCCATGAGTGTACACGATCGATCGCAGTGCCATATTTCTCTCTAGGTATCATTGTATGAAACTGTATGATTAGGTGTTGGCAAAAAAACTCTCCGTGTGGCTGCTCGTCACACGCTGTTGCTTATTTGCTGCGCTCACCGACGGAGACAGTCCATGCAGACGCCATGGCGAGCTTGCCCTCCGCGCGGGCCTAGTGCAAGGCTTGCGTTTTGACCAGCAGTGCCATAGCCAGCTTTGCTCATTAGTCCTGGGGCTGGAGTCTGGACATTCTTGCATGGTCTCTGACAGGCTGTGGTTTGACTTTACTCGGTCTATGCCAAGGAAAAAACTAGCATCAGCCAAGAAGATCATGTTAAAGACCCTAAGATCAACCAGCCTTGCTGTTCGCACAGCTAGTGTAAACTTTTTTGCTCTTTTTTTTTAATTATGCTTTGTAAGTGTGCTTGCAAGAAGTCTGTTTTGCTTCTCTGCAGACCACGTGTGCACAGTTCTTGGAATGCTTTGATGAGCACTACAGCTCACAGCCCTGGCACAAGGTTGAGGTGAGTAGCACTATACTTACTACTAAATATTGCCAGGTCTCGCAAATTCCATGGTTTTGTGCAATTGTACGACCAAAGCAAAAGCCTCTAGAAAGCGCATTTGTGTTTGGAAAAAATCTACGTTTCAGTCTAGCCACATGGTGCTGGAGCTGCATCAAAACTCAATCTAATGCTATTTTGTGGCACTGATTTACATCATGATCAATGGAAAGCCTAAAAAGCGTAGTCAATAAAGCACAAAAGTGAAATTGAAGCTCCTAGTGAAGTGATTACTACTTATGCATATGCAGTGCTGCTGTCGCTTCTGTCTATGCACTAGAAAATTGCCTACCTAGAACAGCAATGGCATGGCGCTAAGGTCTGATTTTCCCTTAAGGGGAGACGTGGGTCTTGAGAAAATGTTTTTTATTATTCGTATGAATTGAATGAAACTTATTATGCTTATTCGGTTTTTTCGGCATATTCCAAATCTCTAAGTAGATTTTCGATAGCTGGCTGCATCAGAACAGAAGATACTAAACTTTTATAATACACAATTAACATATTTGTTATGGTGCTTTTTGGCAATTTCACCATGTCAAACACAAAAACAGAGTATATATCTAGATTGCCAGAGAGCTGGTCTAGCCGGGATGCTAATTTTATTGTTTGCAACAAACTTTAAATGTAAAATAAATGAATACAAACATGAACAAAAAATTTCTGCCTTATATTATTTACAATCATCATGAATTACTATTGTGTGAACAACATATAGAGAAAAAATAAATAGTATCACCTGCTGGATCTATTCAATACGAATGCATTGGTATCAAACTTGTTATTGTGAGTCCATAAAAACATGTCAAAATGCCCCATAAGGCTTCATGTTACCTCTAAAGTCATGAAACTGAGACAAATGCATTTGAAATTTTAGTTTTCCACAAATTGATGTGGAATTGCAACACAACTGTATAAATTGCATCATTATGTAGCTTTGCCTTTTAGGAACAAGATAATGGCATATATGTTACAACAATGTCACAGAAACCATGAAAAATTTGCTGTATTAGCATGCATAGTCCTTGTAATAGTGCAAGAAAGCTGCTACCAAACACTTCACCGTTGTATTTCGGCTTGTATGTGTACACTGTGCCCAAAAATGACACGCTTATATGGTCTGTGCTGTCGCTATTTGCACCTAAGTCAGGGTCACAAAAATAAAAAGGGACAAAATAATAATATTTAATTCTTACAATGAAAAGGGCTTGAATCTACACTTTACAGCTGGCCAGGATTGCAGGTAGTGTTCACTGTTGGCTTGTGCCTATTCACAAGCTTGTTTTTCGTGGCATTGCTCGCTGCATAGTCTTGATTGCATATCTAAATGACGTTATGGATGAATCTCCAGTCACCCTCAATGAAGCAAATCTCTCATCGCCCATGTTGCGCGCTGAGCATGCCATCACGAGTTTCACACTAAAGTCCTCTTTTCATTGCTCCTTATACACTGTTGCCGCAGTTGGCGCAAATCATAAGTCTGAAAAGGTAATTAAACAAGCTCAAATGTACGATCGAGAATTCCATTCCACTGTCACTGAAGTTCCCCTGTTCCGTGTCGATGCCGAGAAGTTCAAATTTTCGTTGGGTTTCCGTCTTGATGCCAAGTGCGCTTACGTCGGCCTCATTTGCTGCACGCTGGCTTTTTCTTGAGGCGATAATAAAACGTTATTGACGCGTTTTCTGATATACCTTGAGGCCTAGGCCGACAAAATATACACACTGTACGTGCCAAGTTGCGTTTTTGTACACAAACCGCCAACCGACAATCCCGGATGCGTTTTGCAGCAGCACTCGAGGCATGGCTGAACGAGACGCACGCGCTCGATGTAGTGGGCTGCGGCACTGTATTTGATGCGTTAACAGGCAATTCCGCAATTATGATGAGTTTTGTGCTGATATTCGAGGCGTCCACTCTCGATGCAGCTGCATGTTCAATCGGTCCAGCGGCTATTGCGGGACATGTCTCGCCGAATTTTGTCGGGCATTCCATGGTCGCCGTCGTTTCTTGTGAATATTCGACGTGTAGTTTTCTTCATACGAATGTCTTCGGACATTTGAGCAGCTCAATAATGACAGTAGTTCTAATGTGGTAGTGAAGTTGTTAACATGAAGAACGTCGCGGAGCAGTCGAAATCCCGAGCCAAGCGAGTGCGCGATCACAACGCGAGATTGGGGGAAAAAAAAGCTATAGAAACGCGGCAGACAAATAGGAGGCCAGCGCGCAGGGCGAGCGCGGGCTTTGACCAATCACGTGCGCGCAAGCGACCTTTGGAAAAGGAGTGGAAGCGTCACTCTCGCTGCACCGGCGCCATTTTGAAGATAGGGAAAAGACACACAAAAAAAAAGCAGCTTCAACATGACACCAAGATGGCGGTGCCCGGTCGCCGCGTTCTGAAGTTACGAGCGCGCGAACTTCGAACATAATTAGCCAATTATCGGTCATTTTGCCTGCACTTAGACATGTAAAATGCTGTTTTTTAAGTATTTCTAGATTGAATACAGCTTTCAGACTTCGCCGGGAGATTATTAAATGTTCGAACTTCACGATACTGCACTTTTTTTTCAAAAATTTACTTTTTTTGCAATTTTTCGCCATTTCAAGACCCGTGTTTTTGCTTAACTGAGTTGCGTGAAAAAAATTGAAGACACCTGGACACAGGTGTCTTCCTTTTGTACTTCAATTTTTTTCGTGCAACTCAGTTAAGATGAATGACCGACCCGCCCAGCAGTCCGTGCTTCTCCGATTTTCTCTGCAGTTTCTCTGACTTTGCCAGCTTCTGCTGCAGGCAGCACTAATGCTCCATGCGTTCATTGGGAATTTCCGTATGCTCTTTGTTGGCTTTGGCGCTCCGGTGCATCTTGCAGTGCACCATGGGCACAGTTATGGTTAATGAGGCAGAGAATATCTTCAAAGTTTTTTGGAATGATGAAAAATCTGTAAAGAGGGGCTGTGTCGAGCCAGCGTTTCCACATGCGAACTTGTCTTCCTCAAGGCTAGAACAGAATTGATTTCTTCAGCTTGTGTCTACGCTTCGTGCCCTCTCCTCCATCCCAACAGAGGGGGGGGAGGGGGGGGCTCTAATAAATTGTATAAATGAAAAAAGAATGGGTATTCCGTGAATTAAAAGAAAAAGAACAGAAAAAAGAACTAAACATTCGAGAGGTGAGGATTTACAAGTGTCGCTGAGTCGAAGTTGTCGAACCAATTGGCAGAAGTTAAGAATGGCAGGTTTGAAATTATTCTACGGAGGGCTTAACTTTCAGTGGTTTTCTTTCTGTATGGACCATACCGAATTGATTCAAGGTTACCTTTAGAAACATTTATACCTAATGGTTGGAGTGTATTAAACTTGGAAATAAGGTACGACTCTGGTATATTTTCTGTCTCTCTTGTGGATCGATAGTTTGATTGAAGTTTGTAGAGTTTGAGTTTGTCAAAGTTGTGTCCTGCTACATTGAAATCCTTTGGCACTGGGTTCGGTCATTTTTTTGCCGTGTCCGTGCAATGACCGTTTAATCTAAGAGTAACTGGCTGTCCTGTTTTGCAATGTACTGTTTATGACAATATGAGCATTCAATTACGTAGATAACGTTTCCACTAATGCAGGTAAAACTATATTTTATATGATGGACATAATCACTTCCGGTACTTTTAACTATTATGTCATCTTGAAGGTGTTTGCAAGTCTTGCATCTTGGATGGGAGCAAGGTGTTACTTGGGCAATAGAATGCTGGCGTACTTGTGCATGCAATAACGTCCTAGAAATTCCTATTGTGGCAATACACGACCTTTGGTACTTCGGAAAGCGCTGTTCCTGGGCGCCTTAGAAAAGCATCAGCGAATAATCTGATGTTAGATGAAGTGTTAGTAGATAGGTTGTTGATATACAGTAGACTCTCCTTAAATGGAACCAGAAGGGACCGGGAAAATGTGTTCCATTTAACAGGAGTTCCATTCACTGAGAGGTGAAGGGGGTTGCAGCATTCAAGTATGAAACCAATTATATCAGAGGAAGTTGTTCCATTTGAGCAGCAGTTCCATATAACAGATTTCCATTTACTGAGAGTCTACTGTAGATTAGAAAGAGTAGAGGACCTAGTACCGAGCCTTGAGGATCCCCTGACCTAACGAGAGATGACTGGGAGGAGTGAGTGTTTACAAAGACAAATTGTTTTCTTGAATGTAAATATTCGACAGAAGTCTATCTGGTTGGGTATGAAAGTGGAAGATGATTTAGACACGAACCAAAAGTTTTGAAGAAACCCGACGTTTCGAAACCGACTTGGTTTATTCGTCAGGGGTGACTGCGGGTACTACATAGCAGCGGCATGTTCAAAGCGCTCCCCGCGAGTGCTTTTCTGGCGTGTTGCTGTAGTAATAACTTGTGATAAGCCAAGAGTTAGACAAGAATTCACTAAGTCACTTTCAATGCTTTGTTTAGCTGTTGTTAATGAGAGATCAGATCAACTTAAACTAGGGAAACTAAGATCACCTAGCAAGATTAATTGTGCACTGCCGTATCTTTCAGTAAGTAAGCAAGGTGCTTCATGGAATTCACCAGTAAACAATACATCAGCGTTGGGAAAACGGTGGCAAGTTCCTGTGATAATGGGTGGGTAAGATAGGTTACAATAGATGAATAACAGCTCTAGGTGAGAAGGAATTTCAACCACGCGGCACTGATGATGACAGCGGGTGGCAATTCGTATTTTTTTTAATACTTTTTATATACAGTCAAATCTCGATAATTCGAACTCAAAGGGGTTTGAGTTCAAATATGTCGAATTTGACTGTATCTATAAATTGATGAAAATCCAGATGAGTTCGCTCCGGGATTTTTGTGAAGCCACCGCATGTATTTATAAACGAATTTAGGAGGCGTTCATCTAAACGTACAGTAGAATCTCAGTGATGCGAAACCGCGGCAGATACGAATTCGTGAAATTCCCCAGCCTG